GGCTCATTTGAAAAATCGTTGGACTTCCCAACAAAAAAATTCGCTCTTTCAGATCAAATCCGTGTTACTGCACTTTCGTCCTTCAGCGGTAACAAAACGGTTATGCGGATAGAATAAGAAAGTACGTTTTCTGTTTGCCAAATTTCTGAACCCATGTGTCCTCATTCGCTTATCCGAAGCTAGCTGGAAGGCATGTTTAAAACACTTTGATCATTGCATTCTTAGTCTTTATATTCGGGGCTACAATTCTTTTTATGGACAAAACTGCCTTCAAAGACATAAGAATCCCTGACATCGCCGTTCGATGATTCGAACCTGCTTAACTAATTGACTTTAGGTTCGTAGCAGATCTTTATCTCGTAATTTATTCTTTAGATCTCTCCGTTGCATGAACGTCTATGTAGGATTATGAACAGGTTTTTACAGCATAATGGTTAATGAGAAATCAGCAGGTTCTTCAGAAATTGCTTGTTGCCACTTCGCCAACCGATCATTTCAGAATTCTTGATACACTTTCACCGTTACAATATCACTTATAAGCAATTCTCGTGATTCTCTTCTCGCCACGTTCGGTCCACTGTTTTCTTTTTTTGCCTTCACTCTATCATAGCACTTAGACTTTAGAGAAGTTTTTCTATGCAGCTATTGCTTTTGCATAATCACCTCGCTTTTTATGTGTAATTAAACCATAAGTTTGTGAGTGATATGGTTTTAGCAAGTATTGTGCATGGGAAATCTGATCTTCTTATTTAAAGTAATGTTGAATCAGCTTTTTTAAAATCTGCATTTGTAATATTGATTTTGTCATAACTAAATTTTCTGTTTTAGCGTAAGGAACTACCTCCTGTGGTTGAACTGTGCTTTATCGATACACATGGCATTCCTGTCGTCGGTACTTTTTGCGTACGTCTTCCCTTTTTGAGTCTAACATGTTCGTTTAGCAGCAAGATGTGGTTGAAGAATTGGCTGAAATCTATAATTTCTTCGAGGCCAAGCTGACAGTCATAAACAAACTTTATCGTCTTCAGGGTCGCATTAACCTAATGATGGAACAAGCAGAAGCGAAGGAGAAAGTGCTGCGCTTTGCTGACCAAGAGCCCTTGTATGTTTTCCAGGAAGGTAGAGCATTGTTTGGAAATCTTTTGCGTTATGTATTTCTTATATTATTATTTATATTTAGAATCATCCGCTTCGGAACATGGATCTGACAACTTGGCAGAACAGGATCAAGTAAGCCTTTCTAAACGCTACACATCTGTCTCTGTCACTGATGTGTATTTTTGCAGGAGATGTGGAATGAGTTGGAATGGAGCGAAGATGATACTGGCGAGCAGAACAAAGTGCCTAACGATGGCATAATATCTGAAGGTGAGGAAGAAGACGAAGAAGATGCCAAAGAAGGCTA